AAGATATATAACTCATCTCAAAATACTTGGTTTCTGAGAAAACTCTGAGACCTTCTTGTCATTTAATCATTTGGTTGAAGGTGCTCTAAGAGTAGAAATTAATTTTTCTTAGAAGTCCCTGAGATTTCTGTGCTGATCCCAGGAAAATAATTTAGTATTCCATAAAAGTTTAAAAAATTCAATAAGTACATTTGGAAAAGAAAAGCAAATTTCATGGAGCTCATTATTTGTAGTGAGATTATTGATGTAAAATAGAATTACTATGCTATGCTTACTTTTGTCTTTTTATCTTCTCTGAGTTACATTCCTACAGAAGAAAAGCAGTACTTATCTATTCCTGGAGTATATTACTTTTCTGAGAATAGTCTTAAGAAAACCTACAGAAAATATTTCCAGAAAATATTTCTTAATTGCTGAAATTCCCCATATGTACAATTATCAAATGGAATAGACCCTCATTTCTCAAATCATCATGTTTTATGTTGAAATAAATCCCCTACCCAATAGTAATGTGTGTAAAAGACAATAGAAGATATGTGGAAGTAAAATAGGAGAATAGAATACATGTATCAGAAAGAGAGAGGGTATCTGGGTATGATTCAGAAGTGAACATGAATATAAGAGCGATGGAACAAGGAAGAGAAGGCAGAGGTGTCAAAAGAGCCAGAAAAATGTGAACTGGTGACACTGAGTGTAAGTGTCACAAAAAAATTGGGAGGAAGTAGAGAGTAAAGATGAGTGAAAAATCCAGATGGCTAAAGGACAGGTGTGTTACTCTTAAAAATTCCAAGTCATGTTTAAAGCCACATTTTCCTAGTTGCATAGAAAGTCTTATCCCTGGGCATGTGCTGACCTAAGAAATAGACATAGTATCCTTGTCAAAGTGTCTAAATTCTAAAGTGATACCTACCATATAAATTTTTAAACAAGTAATAAATATTAATCATTGTGATACATTTTATACAACTATCATCTGAGCATTTCAAAACATTTTGCAAATAGTTGTTACAAAGCCCCTTTAATTAATATTGGTGCCAGGGTTGATCAGACTAAACATTTATTGAGAGGCATCAGTGTGAAGCATTTCATAGACTTGATTTGATCTAACAAAGCAGACAATAAACATGTGAAAATAGATGACTTACTCAAGAGGGACTTATCTGGCATTCACTCCATTTTATATTGTCATGGATTATGGACCTCTCCAAGGACCTTTGGGTTCAAGGGGAGAAACTGACATGATTAAATAAAAGTGAATGTTAAAAATAGATTTTGAAGAAGAAATTAACGCATCTGAAAATTCAGGAGGAGAGTTTAAGAAGTCAAAGGAATTGCATGGAATCATACTTGAGGGAGACATTACAAAATGATCCAAGATCTTTCTAGAAAGCACTAAGAATTCCAAAATAATGGATAATTTCCCCCTCTCTACTTCTTTTCCTCTCCAAAGTCTTTAGATTTTCAGATTCTCAGTGAAGCATGTTGTCTTAGACTTCAACCCCAGATATCCCTTAAGATACTGAAATCTTGAGATACATGGTCGTTTTTTCTCTGTCTGAATAGTTAGCTAAAATTGTACCCAACTGACCCTCATTGAAGCTTCAGTGGATAGTAAGGTATGTGATTACCATTGTCTGTAAAAGTTATTCAAATACTTGGAGGTCAAAATGAAGACTCTTTTTAGTAGGTGTTTCTCTCTTCTAAAACGTCATATAACTGACATTACTATCTTTAGAACATTTAGCCATATTTTAAAATTCATTTGGACTTTTGTCCAGTTACCCATATCCTTAATAGCGAAACTCTGGGAAGAACTTAGCATAGGCAGTCCCAAACTCACCAAAGGTCTGAGCATCAAAATTTCTGATAAAAGTCAGTTGTTTGAAACACATGAAGAAACATTTTTATTTTATATTTTATATCTTAGTTCATCTCTCAGAATTATACACAAGAAGTCTTTATGGTTTATAATGCCACTAAAATAGAGTAAGACTATCATTTAAAGCTTAGTCACAATTTAAACATTGGTCTCTATGAAAAATCATTCCCAATGTTTTTGAGACTGAGACACAGCAATATGAATGGTATTTCCCTTTCTCTTCTGTATTTCACTTTTTAAGTATACTTTAGAAAGAGGAAGAGTGACCTTAAAGTCCTGAAATGTGAAGTGTTTGATCTACTTCCAGAAATTTGGAAAAGCTCAATATCCAGCTCGAGTGGCTATTTACAAAGTGTAAACTGTGCATGTGTGGCCTGGAGATGGATTATTTATATTAAATATAAAGATCTGATATACGCCTGGAATACTGTGAAGAAGATCTACATATTCATATGCTTTTTGTTTAGGAAGATATGTATTTTGATTTCTTTTGTTTCTTAGATGTGAATTTTGGTCCAATATCAACTAACATTTATTTAGTGAGCTCCTGTTGAATAAACTCAGAATATTGAAATTAAAGAAACCAGGAAATAATTAGACCTAATTACTGTCCTAAGGGCAGACACTATATGTAAGATTAATAACAAAAGATATTTAATTTTAAGTGTCAAACAAGATATTTGGCATTATAAACTATAAAGCTTCCAAATAAGGAAGTTTTGCTTTTAACTGAGATGATTGGAGAAGGATTCATGAAGAAGGTGAAAGTGCAATTGATATTATTTAAGAGTATATAAAGTGCAGTATTTGATATGAATATTTTGAATTTAATTTTGATTTTAAAAAATTACCTAAGAAAAAGGAGAAAAAGAGAAAAAAAGTAGCTTAAAAAGAACTCATCAAGAAATAGGAGAAAACAATTTTTTTGTTTGTTTCTTGTTCTGTTATTCTATAAAGTAGTCTTGGATAATTAAAAAGTTTCAAAAGAAAGTTCTCCAAATTTTACCACAGTAATTTAACATTATGTGTAATACAGATATACTGAGTCAGTAGCATTTTTTTTCACTGTATCAACTAATTGGATTTTTCAAATAAGAGAGAACAGTTATCTAGCCTGTTTCTGATAGTGTTTGATTAAGCCAGAAACAAATCCTTCTAATTTATTAGTTATGTAATAGGACTGTTTAAAGAATTTACCTGAAAAAAGATGTGGAAAAACTTAGCATCTCAGGGAAAAAGTAAATACACTCATATACCACAAAATATATGATTTAATAAAATTTATTATTTATTTAAGTCATGAGCTGTTCCACTCAAGTCAAAAGATACTTTGTTCCAGAAAGAATTAAAAAGACTTACAAATTTGTCTCTAGTATTTAAAACTTCACTTGCCTATAATTTTACAATGAAGTTTCATTCCTGTTACTACATATATGACAAACATAAACCCCAATTTTTTTAAGGATCCAGAGAGTATTTTTTTAAATTGACATTGTTACTGAGATAATTGTTGATTCACATGGAATTATAACATATAATACAAAAGATTCCTTATACACTTTGCTCAGCTATTCCCAATGATAATATTTTATAAAACTGTAGTACAGTATCACAGAGAGAATATTGATATTGATACATTCCACCCATCTTCAAAATTTTCCAGTTTTATCTTTACACTTTGTTTGTATGTGTGTGTCTAAGTTCTATACAATTTTATCACCCTGTGTAGGCTATAGATCCACCATCATAGTCAAGATACTGAGTAGTTTCAACACCACCTTACCCTTTTATAATCATACCCGTCTCCTTGCAGCCCGCTAACCCTTACTCAGTTCCTAAAGCCTGGCAACTACTATTCTATATTTTAATATTTGAAATTTCAAAAATATTACATGAAAGAAAGCATACTGTATATAATCTTTTAAGAATGACTTTTTTCATTTAGCATTATTCTCCAGAGATTCATTCAACATTTTTATGTATCAAGGGTTTATTTCTATTTATTGCTGAGTAGTATTTCATAGACTGGTTATACCATTATCCCATCAAAGGACATAGGGGCTGATTCCAGTTTGGAGCTATTGCAAGTAAAGCTCCTATGAACATTTTTCAATGCAGGTTTTTTTGTGAACATAAATTTTCTGAAAATAATGCCCAAGGGTGCAATTATTGAGTCCTATGATAGTTACATGTTTAGTTTTATAAGAAACTGCACATTATATCAGATTGGTTGTACAATTTTATGTTTCTACCAGGAATGTATGAGTGATCCTATTTCTCTGCATCCTTATTAGCCTTCAATTTTATCACTTTTTTTAATTTGTCCATCTTGTAAATGTGTAGTAGCCTCTATGTTTTGAATTTTAGGAAGTCATTTTGCTAAGTCCCTCTTTTCAAAAATATTCCTATGATATTCCAAGGAGTGAAAAATGATCCACCACTATCATGATTATTTGTTGTGTCAGACTGAGTTCTGAATCTAGTGAAATGTCTCTATTCTTCTTATGAGCTCACTCTACATGTTATTGGTTACTGTAAATTTTTGGTATCTCTCATTACGTTTATAGTTACATTGCATTTCTGTTTATCTTCCTGGAACTCGCTCATATTTTACTACAATCATGGCAAAGGCAAGGCCTCAACATGTAACAAGATTTTACAAACCGTTTGGAGAAATTAAAATAGATTGATACTATAATATAATATAATTTCTGTTAGCTATAACTCTTCTGAGAGCCACTTTACTAACTTTGAATGGCTTCATGATGAATTTCTCTCTCCCTATTTTTAACAGAGCAGCTTCTGTCAGAGGTAGCCCTGCATAGCATGTCTCCTCTACCTGGAGTTCCAGTTTTTGTTCTTACTTCTCTCACCACAGATAAACACAGATTGCATGCATTCTGAGTGGTTATTTGGATTCTAATTGTAATTACTCTATGAGCAAAACTGACTCAAAACTATACACAAACTTTCCAAGCCCAGGCAATATTATCCAGAGGAAAACCAGATTAAATCCATAGTTTTAAAAAATAAACCTTTCCTAGAGAAGCAACAGTGTTTATAAAACTGCAAAAGATCATACACATATATGTTAACAAGCAGAAAACTTAGTTTTCCAGACTAAGCCATTTATGTAATGTGGCTTCAGAGTTTTTACCCAATGAATGGATCTATTTTAGGATTTACTGAATTTCAATATTGCAAATCCTAGTATAAATTTAAGCTAAAAACAAATTGAAAGCGTACACGCTTATGTTACTGCAAAGTATACAGTGTAAATTCCCTCCAAGCACACCTGGATCCAAGGATTTAAACTATTTTTAGAACTGGCTTTTTGTCTCCTACTCTCGACTTTGTCCATCTTGGCATGGCTTAGTTCACATACTTAGTCTCTTCACATAGATACATGGTAGTCCCTTCACATAGGTACATGGTAGCCTTCAGAGTTCCAAATTTACTAGGTTTATAACCTTTGATACTAGTAAAGAGATATCATCAATTCTAATTCAAGGAAAGACTCTGATTGGAATGATACTTGAACATACTGGTGGCCAAGATCATGAAACTCCTCCCCGAATGTTTAGACCAGGGTCAAGGATCTATTACCTGGGCATTTAAATCAGGGCTTCAGGCATAACTTCTCCACATGGCCTTAAAAAATTGTCAAGTCAGGGAAAGACAAGTCTCCATAGAATTGGATTCTTGGTAAACAAAATATCTATGTACTGTCCAATTTCATGATTTTCTGAAACAAAAGGACAAGAGGCTCAATGATTAAAGTTTATCTCTGCAGAATGGAAATGCTCTCAACTTTAAAGTCTTCACTCTCCATACTCTTTCCACTGAAGTTCGAACACTTTCACCACCGATGTGTGTAGAGTTCATGCTTAAAATAGTATTTTTTTCTCCTCTCATTTCAACAATTTATGCAGAAGAACGGCATCTTTCAAGTATATAGTGAAAGGAAAGAAATATAGTCTTGAGATGGAGATAATGGAATATTACACACAGCCTTCCAAGGCCTGTCTTGGGAGAATTTCACTTTTCCCTATTTGTGATTTCATTCAGGATAATGGTCCAGAAAACAGAAAACATTTTATTTTTTCAAAGAAAAAAAGGATTTAATGCAAGGCATTACATACTTGCCAATTATCGGAAAGTCTGGAGAAACAAAAGTGAAGTGGCTGCCAGTGGATTAGTGATTTCAAATGCATACTCATATCTTAATTTTAATACAGAAGAGAAGGCACTGCTGCTGCTTCTGCCTCCTCAGCTGTCCCCACTTTTGAAATTGCTGGCTTCTGCCTCAACTGCCTCAGGGTTCTCTCAAAGTTGGAGTCTAGACTTTGGAGAATTGAGGGAAAGTCTCCAATATTTACATCCCTTTGGCCTTCCGGGCTGGCAGTAGCTTCAGCAAGATGATGATCTGTTCTTCAACTCATTTTCCACAGCTTTAACCCATGTCTCTCATTGGTGGAATTTATAAATTGAATCCATAACTCTGACTTCAAGGAAGTCTGAGTTCTATAATATGTTGCTTTTCATATATCAAAGTACTGGAAAGCTGGTAGTAAAGGATCCGGAGTACCAGTCAAGCAAACAATATACAATATAATTAAATACATGTGTTTATGTATATGTATACATAATACACATATGCAGTACATTTCCAAAACTTGAGAAAACCATTGTGATGAATGAAATTAAATATATTTTACCCTTTTTGTGTAAGATTCCAGGACATATCATTTTTATTTTGTTTATTCTTATGAAATAAAACATACAGTCAAAATAATTTGGTGTACGCTGTGTAGAAAATAGTAATTTTTAGAACTCTCATCTACTTAGTATTGCTGCTTCTATGAGTAGACTTAAGAAAGAAAATGACATAATGATGCTGGACATCGATTTAAGGCACTATAATTGAGATTGTACTAAAATCACAGCAATTTTTGAATCAGTACTTAAAAAAATTTAGTAGGTTTTCCTTATGGAAGCAATCTATATATTCTGTTCCTCAAGTATTTCTTTTCTCTGGG